AAATAGTGGCTTCTTTTTTAAAATATCTTTTTTAGATCAAAAGTTATTGGCTTTTAAAGTTTGTGTAGTCTTTAAGTATTGCGCACTATAGCACCACAAACTCCAGAAAACCAGGTAGTAGCTGATGAACCAGATTTAAATTATCTGAGCAAGCAGACAAATGTAAGCAATAAAAAATATTATATTATGGATCTGATTAGAAAATTGCTGTTTCTACATTTTTAATCTAAAATTTTCACAGGATGAATTAAATTCTGGGATATCATCTATCTATGAGAACGAAAATGAAGAAAATTCTTTAGATGGTAACTCTGATGAAGAAGATGTAGTTGAACTTACAGACATATCATTTAATTCTTTTGTTGGTTCAAAAACCGATAACAAAAATTATAATTGGAAATTAAAAAATAATGAAAGTGTAAGAGGTCAGCTTATAAATATGACTAAAAGAGCGATTGAAGAAATGAAACAATCTGACAAAGTAGATTCAAAAATTATGAGCATTATATGGTAAAACATAGTAGCAATTATTTAATGGTCTTTTTTGTAATTTACTAAACATTTTATCAATGTATGTACAGGTTAGAACTGTCATCTATCATAGATCTTCATTAGAGTTTAAACAGGACATGTACTCTTGGTTTAATGATGATTGGATTCCATTAAAGACCAAAGCGCTATCAAAAATTAACTTAACAGTTAAAGCATTTTCTGGCGAAATATCAGAGTTTATTACAAAAGTTGAAAATGTACATAGGTTATACTACCCTTTTGAAAATCATCATATTATGAGTAGTACTAACTCTTTTGCACCTTTCACTATGCTCAGTTTTGTACTTCGTATGATTACTTGAGGGCAAGAAAATTATTATTGGAAAAGATGGTTAAACAATCCACCAATATTAAATTTAAACAAATTTTAAAAGTGTATTTCTATGTGTATATTATTACTTTCTTTAAATTACTTGGCTTTTTTTTATCTCACTATTTACTAATAAAGTTTAAACTTTATTTATCAGCTTGGATTTGTTCTTAGAAAATCCATATTTATTTATAAGAAAGAATGGCCAACAACAAAAATACACAGAAATACAATATGTGATAAAAATGGTGGATCCTATATTGAAAATAATATTTTCTGATTGTCAAAGCCTTGTAAGGCTTATTTGGTAAGTATTTATTAATTTTGAAGTAATTGTCAATTGCAGACTAACAAATTCATTTATAAATTTTTTAGGGGAGAGACCATTTCACAAGTGACAAACAATTCAAAAAGAAAAATAGACCTTTGTATAAGAACTGAAGATGGTACAAAAGAGTTGAGCCATTCCGAATGTGCCCAAAAGGCTACAATGATAAAAATTCTAAAAGATCAAAGTAAATCCTTTAGAACTAACAAGTGTATACTTAACAAATACCTCGAGAACGATCTTCCAGGTGAAGCTTTAGAAAATATAACAGTTTTTGAATTACAGCTAGCAGGTATGATCACATTGAATATCATATATTATACACGTTTCTTACAATTCATCGCTTTCACATCTCTAATCATTATATACTTTAGCTCTGAAAGGACAACTAATTGGAGTTGATTTATTGGATGAAGGACTTTATTTTGGATTTGATGGACCAGCCTTTGAGTTTCTCGCTCAAATTTGTAGTATTGATGTTTTAAAACAGATACTAGAAGTTTTGTATTATTTTAAGATAGGTGAGTCTAAAGTTCTGCATTCCATAATTATAAAAATACTCACAAAAACTCAATGGAAAATAGGAGCAAGTCATCAGTAAAGCAAAATTTTTGTCCCAGAATTCAAGAAAAAACACAATTGCTAAACTTCTACATTCCGAAGATATCATGAAACCAAATCACTTCAAAATTAATTATATTCGGGAAACTTATTTTTCGTCAAAAAAACAATCTTTAACCAGCGAATTCAATAATTTATACATTAAATTTAAAAACGAATAGTGTTTTTTATTTTTTTTATATACAAAAAATATAGTGTGTATCTTGAGTTTAAAACTATTCCAGAAGATATATTTGGCAAATCAAATATAAATATATAACAAAGTCTCAATTCTGAACACAATTTTTGAATTGATCTCGTGTTTGATGTTTGATTAAATTATTAGAATCTTCGCCATGAAAGAATTCATGTATTTTTTGAACTTGATTTACAGTCATCCCTCTATATAGTCACCTCTATACAATCACATCATATGTAATCATATTTATGTTTAATCCAAACTATGATTTGTAAGAAAAAACCTATATATAAGCAAAACTCCTTTATAAGCACGTTTTTAAAAAAATCTACATACTATATACCCCAACTGTGTGATTATATGGGAGGACAACTGTATTCGGATTTTTGAAATGAAATCATGTATGCGTTACTATTTGTAGCACCGATCAG